GGGCAGCCCCGACGATGGAGGCGCCGGCCCCCGCGCCCCGGGGTCGCAGTGCCCCCGACGACGCGTCGTGCGCGTCCAAGTCGCAGGCGTCCATCGACCTCAGCGAGCTCTTCAACCCGAGCGCGCTGACGCGCCTCCTCAGGCAGCTGAACGACCAGATCGACGGCCAGCGCGACCAGATCGTGTTCCTCGAGGAGCAGTCCATCGCCAACGCGGCCTTCCGGGAGATGTGGGCCCAGGACCGCGCCGAGTTCCGCGCGGCCCTCGCCGTGGCGACGGAGGAGAACAACAAGAAGATCAACGAGGCCATCGGCGCGGCGGCCGCATCCGTCTCCGACCTGAGGAAGACGTACAACGAGGAGCGCGCGTTCCGGCGCATCTGCCACTTCGCGGCGCACCGCACGGAGATCATGCAGCGGGAGAAGTGGGAGACCTGGGCCCGCGCCTGCCGCGAGATGCGGCTCTGGGACAAGCGGCGCGCCGTCTTGATCCGCATGGGCAACATGAACGAGAAGCGGCACCAGACCTTCGGGATGACGCGCTGGAGGGAGCAGACGGCGCGCGCGCGGGACGCGGCGACGATGCACAACGGGGCGAACGCGCTCATCGACGCGCTGTACGTCAAGCGGGCCGTGCGGCGGAGCTTCCGCCACTGGGTCGAGTGCGTCTTGCTGGAACAAATTTCCGACGCGTTCGGCGGCGTCGAGATCGTCACGTCGGCGCACCACGAGCAGGTGCTCTCCGTCGCCGAGGCGGCGGCGAAGCCCTACGTCGGCCGCGCGGCGGCGGCGGCGGCGGCGGGCAACTTCGGCGAGGCCTTCAAGCAGGCGCACCTCGGGACGATGCAGGTCGTCAAGGTCATGTCGTCCGAGCAGGACATGGCGCGCCAGCGCGACCGCGAGGCCCTGGAGGGCGAGTGCGAGAACATCCGCAAGGCCCTGGCCACCGTGTCCGCCGCGGCGGAGGAGAAGCGCGCCCTCGAGGCGAAGAAGGCCCTCGACCGCGGCAACGAGCGCTTGGACAAGCAGCTCGCGACGACGCGGCGCCAGATCGACGGCAAGATCACGGAGCGCATCACGGAAGCGCTGGCGCAGGTGGAGGCGAACGCCGCGGGCCACGCGGAGCGCGCCGAGGCGCGCGCCAAGGCCGCGGACCAGCGCGTCGCGGCGAAGCTCCAGGCCGCGGACGACAGGGCCATGGCCGCGGCGCACGACGTCGAGGCGCTCGTCCACGGCTGCGAGGCCCAGGTCGACGCCGTGGACGCGAAGGTGCTCGAGGTCAACGACTACGTCGCCTACGTGGAGCGGAGCCTGCGCACCGTCTACGAGGACCTGCGGAAGCACAACCTCTGGGAGACGATGCGGCGGCGCGACGCGGACGACGCGGGGCAGGTCTTCGTGAGGGCCGCGTTGGGTCTCACGGTGCAGGCGGCGACGCGGCGCGACAACGACGAGAACCTCGCCTTCATGGCCGAGGTGCGCGCGGCCGAGGATTCGCTGGCGCGGTTGATGGGCCAGTCGGCCAAGCAGATGTCGCGCGCGCAGACGCTGGTCTCCGAGGCGAAGCGGAACCTCGCCGTCGAGCAGCAGATCCGCGGCGTCTACGAGGACGCGGCGCCGAGCTCGCCCGGGTCCGTGCCGCAGAACGTGCACCACCACCACCACCACCCGGCCCAGAAGCACTTCCACAAGGCGCCCAGCGTCCAAT